TATATATATATATATATATATATATATATATCAGCAGATGAGCATGACTAATATTCAGGAATAAACCTCACTTGTTCCATATTTGGCGTGGCAGGATGCTGCATCCATATATGTACTTCCACTCAACTTGCCTTCCTTTTTGAGTCAGTTTATAGAAAGGTTCTGTTAATGTATTGGGTGGACCTTTATAATCACACACCAATAAGAACAGCTTCTTCACGTCCATATAGAGTTCAAAGCCAGGCAGCCGACCAAGACAGTCATTTTCTTTGTGACTAATGCTGTAGGAGCGAAAGGAGCATTTATTACCAACAATAACATTCCACTTTTTCTTAATATATATTCTTTTTCTTAATATCCTCCTCAGTTTGGGAAATTCTCGCCTATTTTTGCATACCCAAATGGAAAAGCAAATAACTTCGGAAATGTAAGCCCAGATTACATGTGTGATACATTATTTGAAAGCGAACACCTACTTGTCTCTGAATATATACATGAAAATTGGATGAGAAAAACACCCATGCTGCATCAAGCCAAAGCTGCATCAAATAGGTGTTGTCTGGGCCTATGTCTGTGTTTGGAGGGGGTCTTGCCCTGTGAGTAATTCAGTGTAGAACTGCCCCCTGCTATAGGAATTAAAACTTTGGCTTCACCATAGAACAGGCAGACAATTGGCCGACCTCTGACCTTACAGCTCCACTCAGCACCAAAGTTTTTTTCTGTCTTATGAAAGCTTGGTTTTAGCACAGAAAAACCTAGCAGGTTAGCTGATGGTTGCCTCTTAAATATCCTTAATGGTGATTCACTCGAAATCCAATGACCTAGTCAAAGCCCACAGTTCAACTGAATGAAGACTTTGAGGAAATATTTGGAAACTCATCTCCATAAATGCTCTCTTTAAATCTGACTGGTCAATATCTAGTTCTGAGCAACTCTAACACTTGCAATTACAGCTAGATGTAATAGTACAAGCATTGACTCAGTGTACATAGCTACACTTTTAAATACAAGAAAGTTTAAGTTGGTAGCAAAATGAACTTTTATAATTAAACAATTGCGTATCTGTAAACACAATTAAAAATTAAACGTATTTGTTTTGAAGAGAGTATGTTTGTCTGTTGTGTCATTTTATCACCACATCACTAATATATGTATACACAGCTTGGCATTAACTTTTTTGCTTACCGGCCACGGTGGCTATGGATTTTCCAAAGTTATTAGTCCCTCAGCATTTTCACTAGCCACAATGTTGTTGTTAGAAAATGATCCATACATCCATCTTATGTCACACTTATCCCTGTTGGAGCTGCGAGGGGTGCTGGAGCCTATCTCCAGCTGTCATTGAAAAATTATGTTTAATATAATTAAAGCTGACTGTGCCATGCAAAATACTTACTTAAATAGATATAGAACTTTTAAAAATGTAAATGTTCCTTGTACACACTCATTAAACTAGATAAAGTGTTTAACACCACTGATCATTATCAAGCAGGTTCAATGTCCAGTGTGCAAAGTAATAAAATGTGTTGTTTCTTATTGCATTTTTAAAATGTTGAAGGGAAGTAGGGGATTTATTTAAAAGATAAAAACTAAGCTATTTAAAAAAATGCATGTTTGATAATAATTTGATCTAGCCCAGAGATAAATATTAATATCAGCAAGATGGAAAATGATTAAAAACATCCATGTAGATGAACTCTATAAAGTAATTTTAAACATTTGGTAATATTTTACTTAAGCCAAAACTACATAAATTAGTGTTATGTTGTCAACTTCAATTGACAGAGGACTCAGTATTCAGGCAAGATAGACAGTGGGATTATTAAAAACTATTTGTTAAAAGGCGGGTCTGCGCTTCAGCAGCTGCAGCAGTTAGAGCGTCATAGGCAGGAAACTCTGGTTTACAAGTTCAGTCCATGCGCGGAGAATGAGGTAGGATCCAACCGGTGGCTGTCAACAAGATGTGGCGGGCAAACAGATCAGAACAGGAACAGGAAGGCTCAGAGACGCAGGAGTCAGACGACAGTTCAGACAAACTGTTCAGAAGGGAACAGGCAGGCTCAGTGGTTAAGACGCAGAACAGATCAAAATCAGGTAATCAGAAACACTAAGGAAATACTGAAAACACTCTCACCACTGAGATCAGACTGGAACAGCCAGGCTCAGTATTTGAGAGGCAGAACAGGTCAGGATCAGGAAATCAGCAGCACCAAGGAACTCTAAAAACACTCTCACCACTGGCTAGAGAGAACAAGAATAATCTGGCTTGATGATAGGGTGCACAGCACCTTAAATAGAGGCAGGAGCAGGTGGATCATATGAGCAGTGATAAGAAACCTGGCTTGAGTAGACAGGTGAATGAAATGATCAATTAAGCTAGTTATCAATAGGCACCCAGTGGTTGAGGCTTTGTGTAAATTAAGTTCAGGGGGACCTATATTAATGCAACAGTTGAAAAGAAAGATAACTATTCTTTTTACATCCCACTTTTTAATTTAAGTGAGATAAGCTCTGTGCATCTGTAACTCATTTTTGATGAGAGGAACAGAGGAGAATTTTTTTATTGTGTTGCGGTGATGCATCAGCAGTGCCCATGTTGAATGGGTTAGAGTATTTTACAGTAAAATAGGGTAGCTGAGCTTTCCTCCCTGTTATTTCAGTAAGGGCAGACAGCGTAAAGGTTTTGCCAAGTGACAAAGTTGCTTGCTGTGATCCCTGAATACCAGAGCGACTCAGTGGCAATGATGCATCAATAAGGAGGAGGAGATGGAGAAAGTCTAATCATTCTTCATCATGACATTCAGCAACCTTAAGTAGTTTACATTCTGTTGTCACAAACCCAGTGGAAATCTTGTGTCCATGATACATTTTTGAAGCAAATGAAAGCAGCAGGTGTGCTCCTTCACCATGTTTTCAGCAGGTGGCAGGATAGCTCCAAAAGTCAAGGAAGAAAAAGTGAACATGCATTTGTCATCTCTGATGGATTTATATATGCTGAATCTGGCCTGGCAATCAGACAGAAACCATCAGGTTTTTTCTGAAAGTGTAATTAGATCTTTATGCGTCAAAATTCGTATCTCTGAGGATGGGGGGTGTGGGGCTGTATTGATAACCAACAACAAATTATGCAATCTCTTTCTTATATTTTATATAATCTAAAATGGATTACAAAATGCAGTTTTCTAATGATAAACTAAATTTTGGCCTCAATTTTAATATACAGGGTTTAAATAACTGTCAGATTTTTTATTTTCCTCATATTCGGTACATGGACTTCCTCCCACATTCTAAAAACATGAAGTTAACTAACCCTAGAAGGTAGAAATAACCTTTGCACATAGAGTTTTTTTTCTCTCCTCTGAATAGATGCTGTTACTCATATTTATTCTGATGTTTAATTAGTTGAAGCATTTAATCGTGACATGGCAGCATGAACAGCAAACCTTTAACCCTTTATAGGACAAGTTACCATTTTTTGAGCACTTGCATACCCCTTACAAATAGAGTCCCCCCGTCCTTCAGTGAAGTCTAGAAGCACAAGATCTATATCCAGCCATTCAGTAAAGATAAGACTGCTACATGGTTGTACTGTACATTTTATTTTGGTATTTGACCAATTAGATGAGCCCTTGAATGATAAAATACTGTGATTAAGTTTAAAAAAAGTTAACAAGTTAAGAAGAAAAAGGTAAAAAGCTTACTGAAAAGTTAAAAAGTAAAGTCAAAAAGTGAATGATCCTTGTTAACAAATATATTTAGGTTTATAAACTAGAAATTGTAAGTGCCAGTATGAGCATTAAGGCCTCTAAGGTTTTTTATAAAAAAAAAAAAAAAGAGTTTTTTTTCATAAATTTCCCATAGAAGCACATTTGTTATTATTCTTAATGTATTTGGGCAAATTGGCTTTTCTTGTTATTACATTGACATACATTTTTACCATCAAAATATCCATATTTTATGAATGTTACAAAGGTAATAAGTTCTTGTCCTGGATTCCAATAATACTATTGGCTTGAAATTTGGATTTTCAAAGTATTTCACTGAGTGCTCTATAAAGGGAAACCCTTCTTAAACACTGCAAATTAATATTAAACCATATTATAGCGTGTTCTGTGTAAACTTGGATTAAAGTATGATTAATTGGCATTTTGGATATTAGGAAATGGAAAGTTAGCACATGTCCTTTAATGAGTTTATTAGTAGACCAGCAGCTGTAAGTAGGCCACATCCTGACCTGGGTGGGACAGTTTCACGCCTCAGGAAATATCTGAGTGGATAGAAGCAGACAAACAGCAGGGAGGTCAATAGCGAGGGGAACAAGTGGGTTACAGGTGATCAATACGCATTGATTTCCAGGGTCTGCAGACAGATCCCCTTTCAATTTCAGCCCCAAAGCTGCATCAATTCACATCCAACAGGTATGACCGGAAACGGGGTTTCAAACCCGACAAAATAAACTGCAGGGGAGGAGCACTTCCACTGGTTTATGTTTGATTATTCAAGACACAGAGCAGAACAACATGCTTCCACACAGAAATGTGTTGTGAAGTCCATCCAGAGCGCACTTTCCCCCCAAGTTCTTATTTGGTTCCTCGCTTTCTTTTACCCACTTTCTACACTTTTTATTGATGAGAAACTTTGCCTGCAGGGGAGCGGTCGATCAGTTGCTTACTGAGGTCTGCTGCTGTCAAACTTCAGCTGACATGGATCTGTTGCACCGACGGACGCACTGAACACTTTGGTTTTACTGGCTGCCAAAAAAAAGGAGGAAAAAAACGGACCGACTGTAGTTATTTCTCTCTTCAAGTTTTTTTTTTCTTCTTTAAAAACTAGAACAAAAACTTTAGCAGACATGCAGAAGTTGAACTCCAGCGGGACGCACTGCAGCACGCTGCCCCGGGACGCGGAGCTTCAGCTGCGCCTGGCTGACAGCGGAGGCTCCGGGGAAGGGAGGGAGAACGGAGCTGGGATCCATTTCCTCACCCAGCCTGAAGAGCAAGGCTCGTTTTGTACTAAAAGGAAGATGCTTGTCGGTTTGGATGTTATATGTCTTTGTGTTGGTAAGCAACTTATTTTATATGTGAGGTGCTCAAACATTCCACTTAAATGATATTACCATAAAATGCATAGAGAGTAAATGTGTGTGTTTGTTTTTAAAAAGCTTTACACGCAAATGTTTGAATTTGCTCTTTGAAAAAGAGGGGGAGTGGGAAACACAGTGTATGGAAATTTGGTAAAGTGAACACAGCAGCAAAACAGTTTTCCAGAAGTTCCAGAAGTGGAAAATGTTCCAAGAGGAAGAAAACTCACGTGGGGGGGAAAGAGGAGGGCGGGAGGGAGGGAGGGACCTGGGGGGTTTGGAAGAGGGGTGGTAGGGGGGAAGGTCCTCTGGCAGCAGAAGAACTGTCCCGAGAATTCATCTGTTCCCATGGCAACCCTACAAAGTTCCCGGGACAAGAACGTGGGAATTGGGATGAAAACATGCTCCATGCTTGTGCTGAAAATTGCCCCTCCTCTCTGAGGTCTTTAGTCCGTCTCTCTGCAGGATTACTGAAAGTTATCCCTAAATAATTGACCATGCACCGCCTGCTTATTATTAGATAGATTAGCTTGCAGAATTACAAAAATACATTTTAATATTAACATGATAATTGGGGAACCTTTGCCAAGTACAGTACTAATTATGAGAAAAAAAGAGCCATTATGAAATGCCGATAACTACCTTGTTATTTGTTGTAAATTCTAAACGACTGAAACTTGAAACAGAAACCAGGCCAGCTTCATGTTCAGACAGAAATGCTGTGGTAAACTGCCATAGATGTAATGCCATTCCACATGTGCTTATTTGTTCTTTTTGTATTCATAGAATGCAGCATTGTTGATGTTATGATTGGCTGGACGAACTCACACTGAGATGAAGCAAAGTTATCACAACTCCATTTACTTAACGTAGTGAGGCTGAACCTCTTAAAAACCTTGTAGAACAAACTCCTGGTGTTGTGTGACTAAGACGATATCCGTTTGGCCGGCAAACACGGGAGAGGTAGAACTCGTCAAGGCAGACCAACGAGTCTGATGCTTTTTGGCAGTTGAAATGGAGAAATAATGAGACAAACAAAACCACCGTGTGAGGCTCATAGATTTAGCGACACGTAATTCTTAACCCTAAAGGTATGCAATTAGTTTTTCATTTAGTTCACTGCTTAACAGCTGTGGTTGCTGGTTCAGTTAGTGGCTGGCCAACTGTCACCATCAGTCAGCATAGTGGAGGAAAGGTCAGTCCTACTAAAATCTGCATCGCTGCATCCCCACATTAAAGTACTGTATGGGAAATAAATACATAGTTTTACACTTGTGTTCCTACTAGTATTTAGGACTTGGGTACCCTACTAGTTTTCTGACTTGCTACAAATATATTTGCAAATTAAAACAGATATAATTTCCAGATCTTAGCTCATAATTTCAATGCAAATCCAGTAGAGCATACATATGTACTTGCATGTTTGCTGCAGCCTTCCTCGTTCTTCATGAGCTAATATTAGTTTGTATTAGTTCCCAAAAACTTGCACGTTTGGGCTATTGATGACATAGATCCTCACGGTTGGACTCCAGGTTCTTCCTGTGTCATCTTGCATCAAAACTCACCACATCCCCATATAACAGATGTCATCTTATGGTAGACTACAGTCCAGATCTAGAGTCTAATGATCTGTTATCTAGAACCACATCAATTGTGATCCACTATTAATCATTTTCTGAGCTTTTCTAGACTTAATGGAAAAAGAAAGCAGAGATTTATAGCTCGCAAAACTTATAAAATCATCTTAAGTTAGATAATGTGCTATGTATTTTATTCAGCCTGGATGATTTTCACATGTTTCTTTCTGTGCAGAGGTAAGAAAATGGGACGTTTGTTTGGAGACTTTTCAGAGCAGTAGACTAAAAAGCTTTAAAATCTAGCATAAATGTAACTTTAATCATTATGAAACGGATCAATCAGTAAATAGACACTGGTGGATTCGATGGACGAGAATACTCATACACATTGAGTACCTACCCCAAAGCACACACACGCACACACACACAGGCAGCTGAGTAACATATACAGTATTATGGCTTTATCAACTTTTACTTTTATCGCTAAAAAAGAGAAACAGTTTAATTCAATGAGATTTAAATGTCGAGAAATAAGGTAAAAATTATTAAAAGAGTTTCATTGGTACTTTATAACTAAATAGGGTAGGAATTTGCAATCTGAAAAAATGTAGCATTGTAATATGATTGATGTTTGCAAACATCAGAATTTTTTTTGGATGATAAAAAACATTTCGATTATTGTTTTCCATTATTCATTAATGTCCTGATCACTCTCCTGAAATCTCTGGTTGTGGTCAATGCAGTCTGCATTATTAGCGACAGTAGGGGATAAAGAGAGTCCAATTTAGTATCCAAACATATATATAAAAAATAATAATGTGAAAGCCGAAATGCTATACTCTTGCAAATATTGCCTCAAAGCAGTCTTTCTCAGTCACGATATTGAAGACATGGATATTCTGGCTCTAAAAGTATAAATACTTGCTTTAAAGAATATGTATTTGAATCCATTGCACCAAGTTTTAGTTTTATTTCGTTGACTTTGCTCTTCTGCAGAAAGGCATTGTAAACCAAAAATTCATATTGCTATAAAATGTTCAGCCTTTTGGACTTTCACACTTTAAAGCTATGCAGGATCATTCATTAAGCTAGAAAACATTAAAACATTTCCAGTAACTCAATTAACTTAAACACATTTTATAGATTGACAGCTCATAGACACGCCTTAAAGTTTTTATTTCTCCTAAATCTGATTTGTTTGCTAACAGCTAATGCAAGCACAACACTCAAGATTAGAATATCAAACCAATAAAAATAATTTTTTTTATTACAGAACATTAGACTTACGTGAAAGCATTTTTAATGCCTCAATAAAAAAAATATTTTTTAAGATACTTTTAGTCAAAATAAGCAGGTCTAGCTGGAAGGCATTTTATAGAAAGATTTAATTGAGTAAACTGTAATGAAATGTATTTAGAGACTATTTAAAGACTCTTGCTTTATAATGTGTTTTTCTTTGTAGAGCCTAACTTTCATCAGATCCACATTATGACCTCTTATTGTGAAAATACAAATTTTATTTTCAAAACTAAGTGTCAGTTCTCAATCTATTACACCATAACATATAATTGGTAATAATTGATATTATTAAGCCTACAATCTACCCTCTGTTTGAAACATCCTGCTCATTTTGATCCTGGTTCCCATCCTGCTTATTATCAGCAGTTGTTGAGCTTTGACTCATCTGTTGGCATTTGGAAATGAATGGTTCCTCTTATTAGAAATGAATCGGGTCCTTCAATTTTCTGCCTTTTAATCTCTGACAAAAAAAAGTAAAATCCTGCCTTAAAAACACCATCATTACATCTCCACAGACAGCTGACCTGAGGTATTATTCATGTTTTAAATAGACTCATTCATTGCTGTGAATGGGGGGAATTTTATCCTGAGGCATCATCGTAATTATGTGATCAGCAATAGAGCGACTAAAACCTCCAAGGCTTTTGGAGTTTTTAGGTTGTGGTGATTTTTTTTAATTTTTAATCTTCAGGGTTATTGACAAAATAAACAGATATTTTCCCTGATTTTATCTGATTGTTACTCAACCACAGGTCTGTCAACGATTGCTATTCTTTAATAATATGCCAAGGTATTTGGCAGGCCACAAATTTAAATAATATTTGCTCTACGAAGATGGATTGTTCTGGTTCAAGTAATTTCTTTTTTTCACTGTAAGCAGCAGGATTCAAACGGGTGAATCTAGTCAAGTGTTTGCTTGTGTGCTTAAGGGTATGTCTGCTTTCCTGTTGGGACTACAAGGTTTTGACAGAATCGGAGCTGAAAAAAAATCTGCGCGGTTGCTGGGACTAACATTTAGGGTCCAAACTTAGATAGGTCAGGAGATTTGGGGTGTTTGCAATTTCTGAGGAGCAAGCATAGACAGGCCTCCCTGTTTGTTTTGCCACTTTCTTTCAGCATTGGTGTGCTTCCCTCTGTTATCACCCTAATAAAGCCTGTTATTGACTCTCACAAGGATAATTCAAGGATAATTGGCCAATAGATGGAAAAGGCGTTAGGAAACCCCCTCTAAGCTAATACCGGACCATTTGGAATGCCTTAGGCTTGACCTTCTTCTAAAGGTTAAAAACTGTACTGTGTTCCTTTCACACAAGTTTGATAGGCACAAGAAAGCAGAACTAAACAAGGTGGTTGCAGTGGTTTACAAAATGACCAGTTTTACAGCAAAATGTGTTTCCCAGCCATACAGAAAACAAGCTGGATTTAGATGATCACTATTGTGGAAAGCAAGGTTTGAGGTTTTTGGTTTGAAACGTGAAGCAGCATGCCAAGACCAAACGACTAGTATCTGCCTCAGAGATCTGGATTCTAGCCTGGCTTGTTCTTTTCACCTTTATCAGTATTAACAGGACATTTTATTTATCCATCTCTTGGCCTCAAACACTCTTTACATTTTGCCGAGACAAAAAGTCAGGGATATGATTGTGTTCTTTTTTGTTGTTGTTGTGGCACGTGTTTTGGGTGCGTTAATCTTAGAAGGTTTTTATCCTCCTCTTTGGATAAAAAAGCTGCCGAGTGAGTAGGAAGACTGGAGGCAAACGCGTCATAGCACGTTTCTGTGTGCATGCTCAGGAATATGAAATAGTTTATGTGTGTGAATTATTGTGTGTGTGTGTGTGTGTTTGTGTAAAAGTGTATGAGTCATATGGCTTTCAATTCCAACGCTACTACAACAGCCATGTGCTTGCTGTTTGTTGACAAATTTGCCGGTCCTGTTTTGCTATAAATGTTGGACCCTGACTCCCTGAAGTTATGGAACAAACTGCCGTCTCTCTGCAGCTGACAGATGGACAGCTATTAAAAAATATCTCCGTCAAATTATTAGTCAGTGGAAGAAGTGACTTCACTTACTGCTTCTTGTAAGAGTAATAATACATCTCCTTTC